GAAGAAGACGAGCTAGCACTCATGGCGACAATGGAAGACCATATCAACTATGAGAATGACTGGATCGTTGATTCAGGATGTTCAAATCACATGACTGGCGATCAGAGAAAATTGCAAGACAAGAAAGAGTACAAAGGAAGTCGTATGGTACGTACAGCAAATAACACACAGTTATCAATTGCTCAAATCGGCAATACGACAATCATGCCTGGCAATAAGTCTGATACAGTGTCGCTACATAATGTTTATCATGTACCGGGTATAAAGAAGAACTTGTTGTCAGTGTCACAACTAACAACATCAGGAAGCTATGTCTTGTTTGGGCCAGAAGATGTAAAAGTTTATCAAGATGTTAAGATAATAGGAAAGCCGACGATAGAAGGACGAAGAGTGGAGTCTGTCTACGTTCTATCTGCAGAGTCTGCCTATGTTGACAAGACCCGAAAGAATGAGACGACAGATCTATGGCATGCAAGATTGGGACATATTAGCTACCATAAGTTGAAGCTGATTATGGAGAAATCTATGCTCAAAGGTCTACCACAACTGGAAGTCAAAACAGACGTTGTCTGCGCTGGATGTCAGTATGGTAAAGCTCATCAATTACCATACAAAGAGTCAAGTTTCAAAGCAAAGAAACCATTAGAGTTAGTTCACTCTGATTTGTTCGGCCCAGTCAAACAAGCATCGATCAGCGGAATGCGGTATATGGTGACATTTATTGACGACTACTCAAGATATGTGTGGATTTTCTTTATGAAAGAAAAGTCTGACACGTTCTCAAAGTTTCAAGAATTCAAGATGATGGTCGAAGGAGAAGTAGGAGCGAAGATTCGTTGTCTACGTTCAGACAATGGCGGAGAATACACGTCAGATGAGTTCGATCAATATTTACACGAGTGTGGGATACGACGTCAATTTACATGTGCCAACACGCCACAACAAAATGGTGTAGCAGAAAGAAAGAATCGACACCTTGCAGAAACCTGTCGAAGCATGTTACACGCAAAGAACGTTCCAGGAAGATTTTGGGCTGAAGCTATGCGAACTGCTGCCCATGTGATCAACAAGCTTCCTCAACCAAAGCTAGGGTTCGTCTCACCATTTGAGATACTATGGGATATGAAACCTACAATTAGTTACTTCCGAGTATTTGGCTGTGTTTGCTATGTATTTGTGCCTGACCATCTACGTAGCAAGTTTGACAAGAAAGCAGTCAAGTGTGTATTTGTTGGATACGACAATCAAAGAAAAGGATGGAGGTGCTGTGATCCAACAAGTGGAAAATACTATACATCAAGAGATGTAGTTTTTGATGAAGCATCTACATGGTGGTCCTCGGAGAAGAAAGTCTTATCAGATTCAAACATTGAAGAAATTCTACAACAGAAGCTGGGGGAGCAAACTACACAAATTCAATCAAATTTCGATGCATCTGAAAGTCCAAGCGACATTGATATTGACAAGCAGGAGGTGACTCAATCAAGCGAATCTGATAAAAATGAAACAACACATCAACAACTTAGGCGATCAAATAGAATCCGAAGGCCAAATCCTAAGTATGCAAATGCAGCTATTGTAGAAGATAGAGTTTACGAACCAGAGACATATGAAGAAGCATCACAAAACTCGGTTTGGCAGAAAGCGATGGAGGAAGAAATTATAGCCTTGGAGCATAATCAAACTTGGGAACTAGTGCCAAGACTAGGAGATATCAAACCCGTCTCTTGCAAGTGGGTCTATAAAATAAAGCGTCGACCGGATGGATCAATCGAGAGATACAAGGCTCGACTCGTGGCTCGAGGATTTTCTCAACAATATGGACTAGATTATGATGAAACATTCAGTCCAGTGGCAAAGATTACTACCGTACGAGTTCTGCTAGCACTCGCAGCAAGTAAAGATTGGAAACTGTGGCAAATGGATGTGAAGAATGCCTTCTTGCACGGAGAGCTAGACAGGGAGATTTATATGAACCAACCAAAGGGATTTGAGAGTGCAGCTAATCCTAATTATGTATGCAAGCTTAGAAAAGCTCTTTATGGACTGAAACAAGCACCGAGAGCTTGGTATGGTAAGATTGCTGAATTTCTTACCCAAAGTGGTTATTCAGTTGCGCATGCAGACTCAAGCCTATTCATCAAAGAAAGAGAAGGAAATTTGACAATTGTGTTGGTCTACGTGGACGATTTGATTATCACCGGGGACGATGAAAGAGAAATTTATCAAACAAGAGAAAATTTATCAATACGCTTTCAGATGAAAGAGCTAGGAGAGCTTAAACACTTCTTAGGCCTAGAAGTTGATCGCACAGATGAAGGACTGTTTCTCTGCCAACAAAAGTATACCAGAGACATGCTTCAGAAGTTCAACATGTTAGAGTGCAAGCAAGTTTCAACACCGATGGAGATAAATGCCAAGATTTGTGCACATGAAGGCAAAGAGTTGAACGATGAAACAACGTACCGACAACTAGTAGGTAGTCTTATCTACCTAACTTTAACTCGACCTGATATCTCGTATGCAGTTGGGGTTATGAGTCGATACATGCAAAGTCCAAAGAAGCCTCATCTGGATGCAGCTCGACGGATCTTGAGATATATCAAAGGTACAATCGACTATGGTCTTTTGTACAAAAGAAGCAAAGACTGCAAGCTAGTTGGATACTGTGATGCTGACTATGCAGGAGACCACGATACTCGGAGGTCAACCACTGGGTATGTGTTCAAGTTTGGTTCGGGAACAATTTCTTGGTGTAGCAAGAGACAACCAACAGTATCATTATCAACTACAGAAGCAGAGTATAGAGCAGCGGCTGGAGCAGCCCAGGAAAGTACATGGCTAAAACTCTTGATGGAAGATTTGCACCAGAAAATTGACTATCCAATATCACTTCTTTGCGACAACCAATCTGCGATTCGCCTTGCAGAAAATCCAGTGTTTCATGCTAGAACAAAGCATGTGGAGGTGCACTACCATTTCATTAGAGAGAAGGTCCTAAAGGAAGAAATTGAGATGCAGCAGATCAAGACAGATGACCAAGTGGCAGACTTGTTTACAAAAGGGTTGAATACTAGCAAACATGAGAGCTTTCGCTGTCAGCTCAACATGATGCAGCGAATGAGGACTAGTGCTGAGGGGGAGTGTTGAAATATCATCACTAGCCCAATAGAGTCAAGCCCAATAATTGTACTAGCCCAATAGAGTCAAGCCTAATTGTACGAGCCCAGTATATTTATTTTAGTAGAGATTTTAGGAGAAAGAGATGTAGATATTTTAGGAGAAAGATTCAATTTGTTAGGTCTAGATTCAAATCGGTTAGGTCTAGATTTAGATTGGTTAAATATAGATTGTTTACTCTTAGTATAAATACCCCCACCCTACCTAGGTTATTCATCCAAGAAATCTAAAAACAATAAAAAGCAGAAGTATTCTACAGAGTGTCTTGTATTCTCTTCTCGATTGGTCTTAATAAAGAGAGCGAGTGTTTCCCACAGTGAGTTGTGTTCAACAGGTGTTAGTTTACACAGAGAAGAAATGAAATCCAAATTTCGAAGTCGTTTGGTAATTAACTGGGTTACTTGTTAGGCTACCAAATAATACTCTGCCTCTTTTGCTTAATAACTTTAAACTCTCCATTATAGTGCAACCCATGCAGGTGTGGCTTAGTTTTCTTTTTTTNNNNGGGGGGGGGGGAGGGAAAAGTGGAAAGGGTTAGAGGAAAAGGAGGAGTATAAATGCGACATTAGCTTTGTCCAAGAATTTTCCTTTTTCTCTTTCTTTTTTTTTTTTTTTAATTTTTGGAAGGAAATAAAAAAAGAAATAAAGAAAGAAACAAGAGGAAGAATGTGATCCGATTGGGAAGTTCCTTTTTCTTTGTAGGAAAGGCAAACAGAAACTAAAAGAATTGACTCTGACGATTAAAATAAATAATTACAACAGAACCAAATTCCTCAACTTTGGGTTTTTTTTATTTATTTGGTTGAAACCAGAAAGAGTCTCCAACAATTCTAAGCTGAGTATATATGCTGATTTTATAAATCTTCAAATTCCATTTCAAAGCATTTTGTAATGAATTCGAATCCTTTAATCTCTAATTTTGAGGGCTTTTCTTGTTCTTGTGTCGAAATAATCAAATAATTCTTCATTCTTGGAAAAAGGAGAAAAAAAAAAAAAAAAAAGTCAACTTTCATTGTTCCAAATGTCAGAGCATTGTCCCCCGTGGGCTTCCCAGTTGTGAAGAACCACCCCACAAAGAGAAAACCCTGTTTGAGGAAACACAATTTAACGACGAATTTGTGAAAGACTACAAAAAAAATCACTCATCCCTTGAATCCAAGACTACACAGAATACAAAGTTTATTGAAAACAAAACTCCATTTACTTCCAACTACTACGTACATGGATGGGATTTAAATACAGCATAAACAAATTATAAGTGGTGTCAATTAATTGGCGCCTCTAATCTAATGATTTATTAATCACAGGTTAATCTTCCTTCACACGTGTCACGCATGCAAGGCCACGCCGGCCTGCGGTTGCCTCACCCACCGTCGCCCTGCGTATTATTAATATAAAAATAATAGTTGAAATTAATGTGAGAGTATAATAAGGGGTGGGCACTCCTTGTACGCAAAGATTGTGATATCATAAGGCGCGGAGGTTAAGAGAGTGGGCCACACACCAATGCATGGCCGCCAAATGGACGCCAAGAAGGCAAAGGACGGCATAATTATAAAGGTTTCCTTCACAGTTGGATAACTTCGGCTTGTCAAAAAACAAAACAAATTGGTAATAAAGATCCACGATTAGGTGGTGGAAGAGAAGGAAAATTTTGACCGAAGCAAAAAAATTAGAATAAGAAGAAAAAAATAGGTGGTAAATTTATGAAACACATAAATTTCTTAATCTCAAGCTACAAGTTCACTCATCCCATTAGCTACCTCAACCTCAAATAATTTTATGTTATGAAATTTTTTGCATCAAGAGATAGTAGAAAATCGATCAAATCCAAAATAATTGGTTTGATTTCATTTAAATTAATTAAACGCTAACAGATCCAATAAATCTGAGTTAAAGGGGGAAGCGGCATGATGCATAGAAATCATTCTACATAAGAAAGGGGTTTTGTTTAACATAGTCAATATAAAGCAGTATTTGAAAATTAATAAAAAGGTGGCCTTGGAATTTCTTGTGATGGAAGGTTAGAATCAACAAAGGCAGTTGTAGTTCTTCACGTTTCACCTTTTTATGAACAAATTTAATTGTCAAGACAGAGAGAAAAAAAAAAAAAAAGGGAAGGAGGAAAGGAGGTGAGGGAATTGGATTAGACTGTGGATTGCTGACTTGGGATTTCTCATTTGCCAATCACGTGGCCAGCTCGTCAAGACCACAAAGCTCACAGCTAAGACTNTTTTTTTTTTTTTTTTTTTTTTTTTTTTTTTTTTTTTTGTTCCATCATTTTTTGTTTATGTAGGCTAACCTAATAAGGTCAATAACATTTAAAGAAAAATCCTACCAATCCTAGAAACATATCAAAAGGCAATAGTAAGGGGAAGTCTCCATGAAGCAAAGGGAAATATAGAAATTTAGAACAAAAAGAAATACCCATCAGAGAAGGAATTTTCATCAATTAAAATTATGTATGCTGACCACTTCTTCACCCAACCACTCTTATAAGCTGTTTGTTTTGGACAAACATTAAATAAGAGAGGTTGCTTTGCGTCCCTGCAACAAAAACATTTATCTATCTCCATTTTTTTTTTCTCCCTGAATCTCTGCAAAAGAACTGAAGAAAAAAAAAATCATCTTAATGTAAAATAAATCCACCCCAGGTAATTTCTGGTTGGTGGGGTCCAGTAGGCAAGTGAGGAACAAGAACAATCAGGATATGATTCCTTTTTTCATGTCCTTGTTTTGTTCAACCTACACATACTTCTCCAGTTCAATGGTTGGTTAGTAAATGCCGGACATTCTGAGACACGCATTTCCAAATCTTTAATGGAAAAACTTTGAAGAAATGCATACTAAAAATTAAATGAAAAACTGAGCAGCAAAGTACCTGTAGTTGGCCACAGCTCATGCCCAGCAGTTACGACGAAACTGAAAACAGCTGCTGCATAAAAAATGTTATTCAAGAAAATTTGAGAGTTTAGATGGTTCGGTCTGATACACAAGTGGATATGAAGAGAGGTATCTCCATGATGGAGAGCAACCCCACCCACATATACTACTCTTATCTTCTACCATTAGGAGAGGAGTACTACCTAACGTATGATATAAGTTAAGCTTTAAGTATCAAACTGTACAAACAAGTTCATACCCATACTTTCTGAACTGAATTTACTTTAGCAACAAGTGAAGGTCTCATAAGTTGAGGTCTGAAATCAAACAGACTAACCATCAAGGGAAAAAAATCCCCAAGAATAACCTAAAAAACTTTTTGAGTTTTAGAGATATCAGCAGAAATTGCTACTAAACAAATTAGAACTGTATGTAAAGTTCATGTCACTCACATCCAATACAAGAAGGCTTATTCTACTCGATCAGACAATCTATCTCGTGTTTTTAGGGGTTGCAACCACTTAGAAATGCACTGCACTGCACAATAGAAAGGGTGAAATTTTTCTTGAAGGCTTGCCTCCTGCAGTTCAGACATTTTCAGCCCTAAACTTCAATAGTGAAATTGCTCAGAAAGCTAAATATCAAATATCTTTACTGAAAGAAAAAAGTCATTCATGAGGGAGCAAGGACCGTGAAGAACTAAATCCTGAATAAAAGTGCTGTGAAACTCAAAGTCAGGAATTGCACAATAGTGTATTGTTATCGCTTACATACGAGGATGAAAACTTTTGACATCGCTCAAACCTACTTAATGTTTACTCTTCCTTTCTAAAAGGCAAAAATAGGAAAAAAAGAAAACTGACACGGCAATGCCGAAGTTGTCAAACTCTTTTGGATCCTATGGAGTTCTTACTCCTTTTTTTCAACTTGATTAATTCCATCTCTTGAAGATTTAGGCGGAGGTGGCTCCGAGCATGCCTTCAGAACAGCCTCATTCTGGAAAGAAGGAATACTACGAATTAAGAACACATATCACCAATTTAAAAGATGTTTTAAGAATGGGTAATTTTTCATTTTATAAAAAAACAATATATAAACAAGAACGAGAACAGAACAGAAATTCAAAATAGAATTCCATGGTAACAACCAAAAGGCAGAGCGTCTATGTTTCCAAAGTACAAATACAAAGTATAAAAATATGGAAAATTTAGAGGAGAAAATACATTGGCTCTAGAATGAACCATCTTCAGATGGATATATTTCGAAGCATCATTTTACATACAAGTCAACTAAAAATAAAATTTCTGGAAACCAATCTTTACATAGGCATACAAAAAATCAATCCTGAAAAAAATGGCGTCCAACATCCAATTACAAAAAATGACTCCAATCCAAAAGAACAAAACCAAGATCATAATTGTTCCCAATAAAAAAAAAAAAAAAATTGAGAGCCTCCTTCGTTCAATGTTTCCTCCCAAAAGGAATTCATTAAAATTGTGTCGATGTAGCAAGTTGGAAGGTTTACAAGGACACCTAAGATGAGGATGGGACTGCCAACCTTTGGAAGGGGAGTTTTTTTTTTATCTATCAAAATTGAAAGAAAGAGGCATGTGGAGGATGTAGCTCATTTACTGAGGGAGTTCCAGTTTGCTAACTTCCTTTGGAGTCGATGGACGAGTTTTTTGGTTTTAGTGGGGTGCGGTGTGTAACAGAGATAGACAGCCATTGCTAGAAGAGGTGCAGGCGTATCCACCCTTTAGAGAGAGGCACGGTATTGTGGAAAGCTAGTTTCTTTGTTGTTTTATAGGGGTAGCTAGCTTAAGAGACACAATAGAATTTCCACACAGAAAGAAGTCGAATGAGGAGGTTTGGGAGCTTGTTAGGTTTAATATTTTCTAGTGGGTGTCAGTCACTCGATCTTTTTGTAATTATGGTCTTGGTCTAGTCCTTTTGGATTGGAGACATTTCTAGTTTTGGCTCTTGTTCTTCATCTTTTGGGATTGTTTTTTTTTTTTATGCTCTTGTATTCTTTGATATTTTTTTTCAATGGATGATTGATTTCCTACACACACACACACACACACAAAAAAAAAAAAAAGTCTTGGGATTTCTGTATAGAGGTAAGCAAAAGTAGGTGGAAATCCAAATTCTCCAGCTATGATTTTAGGAATCTAAAATAAGGAGCTTTGTTGTGGACTGGATAGTATCGAGATCTGAAGATTCCTTACAAATCTTGATATTCAAAATATTAAGCACTTATTCCATGGAAAGAGAGGAGAAAAGAAGGATACATTAGCAATTAGCAAACCGAAGATAAGGAACTTGGACAACATTCTTTTCCACATTGAAACGCACAATGTAGCCACTTTGGAGGCCTCTTGAAAAGCGCCTACTAAAGGGAATCAGCTACAATAACAAAAGAGGAAGGGAGCAGAGGCTTACCATGCTTCATACTTCTAAGAGTAAAGACTATATCTCTAGGTTTGTCATCGATGAAGATGGAAGAGTTTAATCTATAAAGGAGATCAACTTCCGTAATTTCTTCTGAAAACCTTTAGCCCTTAAAAGGAAGTTCTTTCCAAAACCTTTAGCCTTCAAGAAATGTTAATTGAAAATGCTTCCGTTTCTTTCTTTAAACATATTCATCTATGAGCTGATTTGCTATGGCTCTAGGATTTCCATTGATGATAATCAAGAGTTTACACTAGAAATGCAAGTATAGATCACCTTCCTTAATTTCTTCTACAAACCTTTGTCCTTTAAAAGGAAGTACTTCCCAAACCCTTTAGCCTAAAAAATTTTAATTGGAAAAGCCAATGTTTCTTACTTTGGACATTCATTTATGAGCTCGTTTAATACTAAGCAAGAGTCAAAACTTTGCATTATAATAATAAAAAAAAATAATTGATCGTGAAGTACACAGAGCTCCTTAAGCTGATCAACTATAATCTTAGAGAAGCAAGGGATAGGCAGGCTGACAGGGCAAAAGTCTTTTACTATTCTTCCATATGATCTCCATGAGGATGTCAAAGATGGCTTCCTTCAAAAACTTGTGAATGATACCATCCTGGGAAATAATATATATTTGGAACACCTTCATAATGTTTACAAGGATGCTTCTAAGACATTTTTTTTGTGCTGAAGAATTCAACAAATAAATCCATTGAGACCCTGGAAACCAAGCCATAAATAGCAAACAAAAAAAATCCTCCTTTGAAGTCAGATTTGAAAGGTGAGCTTTGAGCCCTGGGAATTGGATCCATTTCGAGTTTGAAGCTAGAAAACTAATCCCCTTTTTCTAAATCGTCTTTGAACAAAAAAAGAATTTCTTTTTCAATTTGAAGGTTGTTGATAAGGATGCACCATCCAGACTTAGGATTTCAGAGAAAAGATTTTCTTCCTTTTGCTGTCAACTATTCTATATTAGTTGGAAATTTTCATCTCCTTCCTCCAATTCGAGAGATTTTTGTTAGGATCGCTCAACAACGCACACTCGATCAAGATGAACACAAAGAATAGGAGAGAGAAAATTCAAGGAGGAATATTGGCTAAAAGTTTTATTGATGATTTCAGTGTGTACAACAACAGAGAATACAAATAATGAAGAAAAGTATGGGAGCACGGCCTATATAAGGTTTCAATTTACTAAATATATCTTTAGTATAAATAGGCATCAAGCTACATATCCCAACCATTTTCACACTCTCAAAAAATAAACTTCCTTCAACATTATGTTTTGGAGTTTGAATTAGAGGGTAATTAAGAAGGCTTTTTAGGATGTGTCAACAGGAGAAAATCCTTACAACTCATCATGGGCTTTAAGATCAACAAGATTGTTGGCATTATTGAGAAGATGTTGCCAAGAATTTCCTAATTCCATCATTTCAGCAAAGACTTATTTTTTTGAGTTTGCTAATCACGCCCCGGACTGGCCAGTCCTTTAAAGGAGAAATCCAATTTTTTTTCATAAAAATTTATACATATATCTATAAACTTCGATGGCTCATCCTCTCCAAGATCAATCTCCCATCACCCTCCAGTCAAGTGGTCCCTTTCTCTGCTCTTTTTTTTTTTTTTTCTTTTTTTCTATTTTCTTTTTCATATTCATGAGTGTCTGAGCCATTGGCCCTTTCGTGAATGCAAACCTTTGGCTGTTACAGTATCTAAAGTCCATGGCTTGTTGTCACTAAAGGCAGCTGCAGATGTCAGGTTCGAAGGACTTATGTCAAATGGTTCTTCCCCCGGTCCCTTCGGCAGAAAAGCCATTTCACATATTGCATTGCTGATTAAACTTGCTTTCAATGAGTCTATCTAATCTTGAGTTGGCCCATGAAGATTTCCTCCATGCTTATCAACTTGAACTATTCTACATTCGAATGAATGCAATAATCAATGTGAACATGTAACTGGTAAGGTAGTCATGCTTAATATTAAAAGTTCAAAACATTATTTTTCTTCTTCTTTTTTTTTTTTTTTTCCTTTTTTTGTGGACAAGATATGTTACCTAAACACAAACATGTGCATAAATGGAAGACTTCAAGGGAAGCTAAGACATTACCCAACTCACTCTAGCCAAGAGATCACAAAATGGATCTCCATGGCATGAATCAAAACAAATTATAAATACAAAACTCATTAACTAGGCAACTCCATCCAGAAGCTAAAAGGTTGTGGAGAATCAATTCTCTTCCTAAAGGAAACAAAATTCCTTTTTCAAAGTGTACATGGATGGGGAACCATCCACCTAAAGTTTGTTTCCCGAGCTATTTTGATCAGAAAACTCAAAAGTTTTCAGTAGATACATGCGATTAGATACTCATGAAGCCTGACATTGTAGTTTAGAAGAGTCCCTCTCACATTTAGACACCAGAGTGGGTAGTTTTTCAACATGACTTCCTTGATATTTTTTACAACCCAACAACCTAATGCTAGAAGATGGAAGATCCTGTATGTAAGTCTATGTTTGATCCTCTTTCTTATGGATACTATTGTTGATCTTGACGAGAAGGTTCTTAATCTATTTGGAAAGACAGAGTTTCTAAAGTACAATTGTGTCTCTAATTGGAACTTGGAAGGGTTAAAAGCCTAAAACTGACTGCAGAAAAAGGAACCCCAAAAGTTTATTGACTCCATGTTGGCATATTCTTTGTAAAACCTCCTAAGAATATTAGAACCATCTCCCATTCACCATTCTCCTATTGCTAATAGCTGGGAGATTCTGCACAGGTGTTTCAGGGTTTCTCGGTGTTTTCTCGTATTAAATAAGGATGTCTTCTTACAAATCTGTGGAAATTCTTCGGAAGGAAAAGCAAGATCCCATTGAAAAATGCAGTAAGAGCTCTCGTGTAAAAAAGAAAAACAAACAAATAATTTTGGAGGATAGAGTATCACTGACCTTGACAGAGACTGAGATTTTTGGCTTTAGTTTGACGTACTTTTGTCAGTTTCTTTTTTGAAATTATGATGTTATAATGATTCCTGTCAATTAGGATAGCTTCTTGGGGGGGGGGGGGGGGGGTGCGTGTACGATATCT